TAAATTATAATTAAACCATCGTATGTCTGGGAGTTTATCAAGGACCAATTATCTGGTGTGTCGACTTCAGCTCAATAGGTTTCACGGGTTGGGACACGTATCGTGCATGCTCAATTGTCGCCTGCCGCACCACACTTTGTTTACCCTCGTTGCAGCTCAGAGCTGGAGAAAATCACGTGGAGGTCAACAGATGACGTGAAGTGAAGCAGGAAGACACGCACAGGGCCGCTAGGTAGAGTAGGTGTCTCATGTCTTCCAGGTTGGAGTTCAAAAGATTCCTTAGCTAGTTGGTTGGGGACACTGGAAGATAGGGTAGCGTCCCAACAGTAGGGACGTTTGTTGTCATTATGTTATCAGGCCACAATACCAAGGAAGCTGCGTGCTTAGTTGGATTGTGTACTCCATGTGTTGACCGTGGAGGTTCACCATCTTCCCCCGCTCCCTCGAAATGGGCCCAATCCATTTCCACCTTACTCATTTTCACTAACCTTATGTGCATTGTGACTTTGGCTGCGATCATTGAAGTTCGCTTTACTGTATTTTACTGTACGATGATGATAATGAATCATGCTTTAGAATTTTCTGATGCAATGAACAATAGCGAATAAAATAAGTAGAGTAGATTAGACAGTTCTGTTGCTCCGTTCTCCCTCCTTCTCACAGTCTTTGTGTGACTTTCTCACGACCACAACCAATGAAGGAACCCAGGCGGTCCGTGCAGCTTTGTCTTCACGGTGGTCTACGTTAACCAATCCTTCTCTGCTAATCGCTTCCGGCCTACTACCAGCTGGTTCACCGTTCAGTTTCAATTCGGCCGATTTGCTGCTCGATATGGTCGGTTTGTCGAGTGGAACAACCAAATCCGGCGCATTTGGCACCGGACCAATCCAAAAGAAGCGCAGCCAAGAGCCTACATCTGCGCTTTGTCATCGCCTACTGGTAGAGAATGTGGATAAAGTGGGTTTTGGGGTCGGGCGGGATATTAATAGGATTACTACTTTATTTAAAAAAACGGCCCTAGTGTTCATACCAATGCACTACGTTTTGAATCCATTCGGTATAGAGGATTTTGTGTACACCACAATAAGCGTTGTTTACTACATATGTTGTAGTTTACCACCAACTTGAAATGGACAGTGCGTTCGTCACCACTTAACAATGAAAACAGACTAAAGTAGAGTGTGTTACAGAATTCAGAAGATAACCACATGGTAAACCAGGTTTTTTTGTAAATATCCACACTTTGCACATTTGAAGATTCTTATTGTCTGCTTTTTGCTTCTCGGGATTTTGGCATATTCAAAATACAGTTTTTCAGATGTTCACATATGTAGTACCTGTTCTGGACTATATCCCATTCATTATCCTTTAGGCACCAACCAGGCAGTTTGGAAGAACCGACTGCCACGTCGTTTCCTTCAACCATATCATCAGATCGTGGATAGCGGTGGTTACAGAAGCCAGCGTATGTTTAAGCTGTATAAGAAAGAATAGTATAATCATTCCGAGGCCATTAATGCGTGGAATAAAGCCAAAGGTAATTGAACCAAAACTTGGCATGAAAGTATGAATACGCTGATCGGAAGGCAGTCAGATAGGTCGGATTAGGCTTCTTGGTTGGAGATTTTCGGATCAGTGTAATCGATGGCTAGATACGCGAAGTAATAGAAATATTGTGACAAGTGACACTGATACATCTTCTCCGCTTTTTTTTTTATCCTGTTAGACATTTATCCTCTTTTTTCGGCTTGATACTGCTTCCAACATTCTAATCATCTCTATTCATTCATCGAAATTTGTATCAGAAAGACCGCAACGAAAACCGCCGCACGAAAATTCATGGTTAATGGTTTTATGAACTGAAGTGCACGTAACCGTTTCCGTTAGAGGGTAACTGTCTACACCCAATACCCGTTGTTCATATTATATAGTAATCATACGCGGACAGTCTCCGAGATGACGACGATCAAAACTGTATACCGTTCAACCTCGTTTCACTGTGCGATGCCTCGCGAACAGAGGACAAACATTTTGTATTAGGGCGGAAATGTTGCGCGCACATTTTTAGAAGAGAGAGTTTTGCATGAGTGTGAGAGTCTGAGATGTGTATGAATGCACAAGTCCGCGGTTAGATTGTGGGCGTGGTTGCCCAGGTCGAAGTAGAGACTTTTCTTCAGGGACCCTACCCTTTGGTTAAAGAACCTGACCCAGAAGGCATTGGGGTGGAGTAGGGAGTTCACAATCTTCTGATATCCGGTGACTGTGGGGCCAGTTCATGCACCTTTCGGATGTGGCCAACTATCTTTTTTTTCTTTTTCATTTTACTTCCTTTTATTGAATATAAAGATACAATTTTCAGGAAGGGGGAAGCGGCCAATCAGAGGGCTGCCATACAACACACAAATGGGGAAAGTCAGGCGGTGGTGGTGAGATTCGAACTCTCGTCCTCCGGGGTGATAATTGGTGGCGTTACCACCGGGCCACCACCGCCCAGAT